AAGTTTGACTTCTTCCTTTCCAATTTGTATTCCCTTGATATCCTTTTGTAGTCTTATTGCTCTAGCTAGGACTTCAAGTACAATATTGAAGAGTTATGGAGAGAGTGGACAGCCTTGTCTTGTTTCTGATATTAGAGGAATAGCCTCAAATTTCTCTCCCTTTAGTTTGATGTTGGCTGTTGGTTTGCTGTATATTGCTTTTATCATGTTTAGGTATGTTCCTGTTATTCCTGATCTCTCCAAGACCATTATCATGAAGGGATGTTGGATTTTTGTCAAAGGCTTTTAAAGCATCCAGAAAAATGATTTACAATATTGAAGAGTTATGGAGAGAGTGGACAGCCTTGTCTTGTTTCTGATATTAGAGGAATAGCCTCAAATTTCTCTCCCTTTAGTTTGATGTTGGCTGTTGGTTTGCTGTATATTGCTTTTATCATGTTTAGGTATGTTCCTGTTATTCCTGATCTCTCCAAGACCATTATCATGAAGGGATGTTGGATTTTTGTCAAAGGCTTTTAAAGCATCCAGAAAAATGATTATGTGGTTTTTCTTTTTCAGTTTGTTTGTATGGTGGATTACATTGATGGATTTTTGTATGTTGAAGCATCCCTGCATTCCTGGGTTAAAGCCGACTTTGTCATCGTGGATGATTTCTCTGATGGGTTTTCGATTTGATTTGCCAGTATTTTGTTGAATATATTTGTGTCAATGTTCATGAAGGATATTGGTCTGTAATTCTCCTTTTTCGTTTTGTCTTTGAGTGGGTTGCATATCAAGGTAATTGTAGCCTCATACAATGAGATTGGCAATGTCCCTTCTGCTGGTATTGTGTGGAACAATGTGAGCAGTACTGGTATTAGCTCTTGTTTGAATTTCTGGTAAAATTCTGCAGTGAAGCCATCTGGCCCTGGGCTTTTTTTAGTTGGTAGATTTTTTGATGACTGCTTGTATTTCATTAGGGTTTATAGGTCTGTTTAGCTTGCTTATCTGTTCTTGATTTAATTTTGGTAAGTGATATCTATCCAGAAAATTGTTCATTTCCTTTAGATTTTCGAATTTTGTGGAGTACAGGTTTTCAAAATCTGACCTATGATTCTCTGGATTTCTTCAGTGTCCATTGTTATGTCCCCAT